GGGCGCACGAAGAATACAATTCAGCACTCCACGCACTGTGGATCGACGCCGCAGGGCGCGCCGACGCCGGCCGGCGACGCAGCCGCGAGAGCGACGGCCCAGCCAGCGGCCCGCGCGTCGCCGACTCCAGAGTCACAGGCAGAGGAGGCACTACGGAAATCCTCCAGCGCACCGAAGGTCCCTGGCGCGAACATGCAAACAGAGGGGCGGAACGTACCCCGGAGCAGAGCCATAACCTTGATATTCTAGTGCAACACAGCTGGAACCGGCGCCGCCCCGGCCACCCAGGCATGCGCCCAAACCCGCCGCTTCGGGCAGCGCCTCCAGACCCCGGCGATGGACTGCCCGCGCCGGCCCGCCTAGCCGCCGCGAGCATCCTGGCCCTCATGGACCTCTCGGGGCTGGCCTGGTCAATCGCGGGTGCCGACCGCGAGGGCAGACTGGGGGAAGTTCGCCCTGATCCAGCGCAGGCCCTCGCCCTCCGATTCGCCAGCGCCGCGCGCCACCCCCTAATCCACGCGGGGAGATTCGACGGCGACAACGCCAGCCCCGCGGGACTCAGAAGAGCATGAAGTATTGATATTGCTAGTTTTCAAGATTTCCAGGTTGTCCTGTCCTTCCGCGCGGGATCCAGGGACAATTGGTCGAGCGCATTCCGTCGCGCAGATTCTTTGCGCGACGTGCGCGGTGATTTTTTCGCGCATCGGAAATCCCTCGGGGATTCCAAGCTGCTGCGTTGTTCTTGGGGGGTCCGCGAGTCGTAGCTTCCGTGGCGCTGTTTTCGAGGCAACCCTTCCGAGTGCTGTTCGCGGGCGCAACGCGCGGCGCGCCTTGCGCCCAATCGCGCGCGGCGCGGTGCGCGAATCAGCCGGCCGCGCCCGTCGGACCGCCTGGGGATCATTCCTGGAATGGAGAAGCGGCTCCGGAATTTTTCAAAAAGGAGGTCGGCAATATTAAATGAAGAAAGCAGTTTTGAGGGGTGGAATGCGCCCGCCGCGCAGGACATTTGAATAATTCTGTAATCTGGAATTTTTCGAAATGGATTCCGGAATTTCGAAGGTCGACCCATTCGAGTTTGGCATTTTTCAAAAAGTGGGCCCGCCATTTTCCAAAACGCACCCGTTTATTTTTGGTTCAAATTTACCGCCGGAGAATTTTCCAGAGTCGCGCGTGATTTGCCTTGCCAGGTTTTTGGAGATCCGCCGAGGCGCGCGGCGCGCGGCGGCGGGCGACGGGGGGGCGCGCCACCGCCCCCCCCCCCCCCCTTTTTTCCCCCCCCCCCCCCCCCCCCCCCCCCCCCCCCCCCCCCCTGCGCTCGGCAACGAGAAGGGGGGCCAGCAAGTGCCAAATAGCCCCTTAGGGGCGACCATTCAATTGCGAATGGGTGACCGACCAGTTGCGCCAGCCAGAGCAGACGACACTCGGCGCAAAGTGCACCCCGCGCGAAGGCTGTTGGAAATCCCGGGATCCGCGGAACGCATCAACAGCACGTCGTGTCAATAGATTCTTCTCGCCCTAGGAACTGCAGCTGCCACGGCTCGAATGCGGGGCCATGGCCGCGGCCGCGCACTATTGTGATATTGGCATGGCCGCCGCAGACAGCCCACTTCCATACGCCGTTCTCGCCCCGACCAAAGCATGGCGCGAAGCGGTCCCCAGGGTCATGTCTGGGCCAGGCAGGCCCGAAGGAGCAGTGGGCCCCATGGACGACGAAACCCAGGCCAGGGCATACAGAGTGATCGTGTACGAGCACAGAAACAACATCATGCACCTCCCCGACCGCAGCGACATGCGGACCTGGGCGGACAACAGAGGAGCGCTCAGGTGCATGGGAGACGACGTGCCCTCGCAAGAGCATCACGGACGTCAGTGCGTTGCGCTGGCCCTCTCTGGGGCCCGCGAAGCTGGCGGCAGTGGCGCAGATCGCGGCCCCCCCGAGTGGGCCGCGAGGTCTCAGTCTGATCTGCGCACGACGTCAGCGCGCTGCGCGGGCCCTCTCTTGGAGCCCGCGATACTGGCGACAGTTGCGCAGATCGCAGCCCCCCCAGGGAGCCGCGAGGTCTTGGTTTGATCTGCGCACGACGCCAGTGCGCTGGCCCTCTCTGGAGCCCACGACGCTGGCGGCAGATGCGCAGATCGCAGCCCCCCAGGGGGCCGCGAGGTTTCGGTTTGATCTGCGCACGACGTCAGCACGCTGCGCTGGCCCTCTCTGGAGCCCACGATACTGGCGACAGTTGCGCAGACCGCAGCCCCCCCAGGGAGCCGCGAGATTTCGGCTTGCTCTGCGCACGACGTCAGTGCGCTGCGCTGGAGCCCGCGAAATTGGCGGCAGTTGCGCAGATCGCAGCCCCCCAGGGAGCCGCGAGGTCCGGGTTTGACCCGCGCACGACGTCAGTGCGCTGCGCTGGCCCTCCCTGGAGCCCACGTAGCTAGCGGCAGTTGCGCAGATCGCGGCCCCCCCGAGTTGGCCGCGAGGTCTCGGTTTGATCTGCGTTCGACGTCAGTGCGCTGCGCTGGCCCTCTCTGGAGCCCACGAAGCTGGCGACAGTTGCGCAGGCCGTGGCCCCCCGAGGGAGCCACGACGTTTCGATCTGATCTGCGCACGACGTCAGTGCGCTGCGCTGGCCTTCTCTTGGAGCCCACGAAACTGGGAGCAATTGCGCAGGCCGCAGCCTCCCCAGGGAACCGCGAGGTTTCGGTTTGATCTGCGTCCGACGTCAGAGCGCTGGCCTCGTCTGCAGCCCGCGAAAGTGGCGGCAGATGCGCAGATCGCAGCCCTGTCAGGGGAGCCGCGAGGTTTCGGGTTGATCAGCGTACGGCGTCAGCATGCTGCGCTGACCCTCTCTGGAGCCCACGATACTGACGACAGTTGCGCAGACCGCAGCCCCCCCGAGGGAACCACGAAGTCTCGGTTTGATCTGCGCAAGGCGTCCGCGCGTTGTGCGGGCCCTGTTCTGGGGCCCACGAAAGTGGCGGCAGTTGCGCAGATCGCGGCCCCCCCCAAGGGAACCGCGAGGTCTCGGTTTGATCTGCGTACGTTGTCAGCGCGCGGCGCTGGCCCTTTCTGGAGCCCACGAAGCTGGCGGCCGTTGCGCAGATCGCGGCCCCCCGAGGGAACCGCGAGGTCTCGGTTTGATCTGCACACGACGTCAGCACGCTGCGCTGGCCCTCTCTGGAGCCCACGAAGCTGGCGGCAGTTGTGCAGATCGCAGCCCCCCCCCCAGGGAGCCGCGAGGTTTCGGTTTGATTTGCGTGCGGCGCCAGTGCGCGCGCTGACCCTCTGGAGCTCACGAACGTGGCGGCCGTTGCGCAGAGCGCAGCCCCGTCAGGGGAGCCGCGAGGTCTCGGTTTGGTCTGCGCACGACGTCCGTTCGCTGCGTTGGCCCTCTCTGGAGCCCGCGAAACTGGCGACACGTGCGCCGATTGCAGCCCCCCCGAGGGAGCCGCGAGGTCTCGGTTTGATCCGCGTACGACGTCAGTACGCTGCGCTGACCCTCTCCGGAGCCCGCGAAGCTGGCGACAGTTGAGCAGATCGCAGCCCCCCCGAGGGAGCCGCGAGGTCTCGGTTTGATCTGCGTACAACGTCAGTGCACTGCGCTGGCCATCGCTGGCCGTCACTGGAGCCCACGAAGCTGGCGGCAGTTGCGCAGATCGCAGCCCCCCCCAGGGAGCCGCGAGGTCTCGGTTTGATTTGCGTACGACTTCAGTGCGCTGCGCTGGCCCTCTTTGGAGCCCATGAGGCTGGCGGCGGTTGCGCAAATCGCCAGCCCCCCGAGGCAGCCGCGAGGTTTCGGTTTCATCTGCGTACTACGTCAGTACGCTGCGCTGACCCTCTCTGGAGCCCACGGAGCTGGCGACAGTTGCGCAGATCGCAGCCCCCCCCACAGGGAGCCGCGAGGTCTCGGTTTGATCTGCGTACGACGCCAGTACGCTGCGTTGGCCTGCTCTGGAGCCCACGGATTTGGCGACAGTTGCGCAGATCGCAAGCCCCCCGAGGGAACCGCGAGGTCTAGGTTTGATCTGCGTACGACGTCACTGCGCTGGCCGTCCCAGGAGCTCACGAAATTGGCGACAGTTGCGCAGAGAACAGCCCCCCAGGGAGCCGCGACGTTTCGATTTGATGTTCGTATGACGTCACTGCGCTGGCCCTGCCCACGAAGCTGGCGACAGTTGCGCAGATCGCAGCCCCCAAGGGAGCCGCGAGGCGTCGATTTGATGTTCGTATGACGTCACTGCGCTGGCCCTCCCAGGAGTTCACGAAGGTTGCGACAGTTGCGCAGATCGCAGCCCCCCAGGAACCCGCCCGGCCCCAATTCGATCTGCGTAAGTATGACGTCGCTGCGCTGGTCCTCACAAAAGCTCACGAAAACGGCGGCAGTTGCGCAGATCGCATCCTGCCTCAGGAGGCATAGGAGACAGGACGAGAGGAGGAGGACGAGGAAGAGAGGAAAAGGGGCTCTGGGTACGTTCGAGGAAGAGAGGAGAAGGGGGCAGGAGGGCTGGAGGAGGCAGGAGGAGGAGGAGGAGGCGAGAGGAGACGCGCGGGCAGTGCTCTATTCAAAACGAGTACCCAGTCAGAGGAGGGTTGGCGAAAAACAGTGATTTGCTGCAGTTGTTTTCAAGGATGTTGGCCTTCTCGCCTTTTTGGCCTCCCGATGCTCCAAGACGGCCCAACAGGCCCCCTAGACCGTTTCAAGAAGGCCCAAGAGGCTTCCAAGAGAGCCCCATGATGGAGCCCAAAGGCTCTTCCAAACAGGGCTCAAGGGAGTTTTCGCAGAAGCCGAAGACGGGCCGAGAAGGCCCCAAGACGCTCCAAGAGGATCTCAAGACTGCCCCAAGGCTCCTAGAAGACTCTTCCGCGACGTCCGTTGAGCTCGTCGTGAAGTCCTTGAAGTCACAGACTGGAAGATGCAGAAGGCCTGGATCGCGTGGCGCGCGGTAGTCCGTCTGTTTGAGCGCGGCGGGGGCAACAGCGGCGGGGACTGGGCGCCCGCCGCGAGAACGGCATCGACGGCGTGAGTAGCTTCCTGGAGCAGCTCGACGACGCCGCCGCCGCGGCTGGCTTCGCGACGACCGCGCCGCCCCCGCGCAACGATAGGGTGGATAGGCTCAGGGGCATCGGTTCGGGGGAGGTCGACTCAGGGCGTTTTCGGTTTCTTCAGACGCTTTCGCCGGTTCCCGGAGGCTTTCCCGCCTCGGGATGCTCTCCGGCAGCTGCGCCTCGCCGAGGGCGTTCCGGGGTTGGCCAGATCGTCCCGAGCGGCCGCCGGAGAGCGGAGCCACGGCCCGAGAAGCACCAGGGGCAACGTCAGCGGGGGAAACAGGTTCAGGGGGGGGGGCGCTTCGACGTGCGGAAATCACGCAAGTCGAAAGGCACTTGCACGCTCGTGTTCGAATGAAGAGGGGCGAGGGGGGGGGGGGGGGGCGAACGCCGTGCAAGTGAGCTTGCCTGGATATAAAGAAAAACAGGCTCGAACCACCAGGGGCAACGTCAGCGGGGGGAACAGGTTCAGGGGGGGGGGGGCGCTTCGACCCCCGACCGACAATGGACCGCCGATGGTGTCCCGATACCCCAGCGCGTCCAGGAGCGTGCGGTTTCGCCATTAAGGCCCTGACGCCGAACCATCGGCGATGTACCGCCGATTCCAGGTCGATGTTTTCCCCCCTGTGCCAGCCCCCCCCCCTATTGCTGCCCTCTGCGGGAGGGTCTAGTCGGGGAACGCGACATGTCATGACCATGAACTTTGGCCAAGGTCCGCGGGGATTTCTCGGATCGGCGCCGCCCCTGGCGCGCTCCGCGCGCCAGGGAGGGGGCCCAGTGCCGATCCCAGACATCAGCGCAGACCTCCGAGAGCTCTTGTTTGCGTCTCTGGCTTATCTGCAGCGTGGAGCTCTCCAATGGCCTCGGGCGATGAGATCTGTCGATATCCGTGGTCCCTGGCCAGGCCCGTCCTGGGCCCAGGAGCGGTGTGTAACGCCCTCCTGGTTTGGCCAGGGAGTCAGTCTCACCGCTCCTGGGCCCAGGATGGGCCTGCCTGGGGGCACTGGATGTGTACAGTTATAGATCTCGTCGCCCTCGAGCGGGAGCTCGGGGGCACGACCCTTCCAGTTCCTGCAAGCTGCGGGCCAGCCCTCGCGAAGTTCTGCAGGAAATCGCCCTCGCGAGCCGCCCTGGGGACAGCGCGCCCCGAGTGTCTCAGAGCCTCTCGTCCGCAGCTGTGGGGTGGCCCAGAGGTCGGTGGTGCCGTCTGCGCGGTCGCTCTCTTTTTTTTCTGAATTGCTTTCTCTCTCTTTCCCTCTCTCTTTCCCTCTCTCTACACCGCGGCGGTGCCGCCGCACGCCGGCGACGGTAGGTTCGATCTCGGGGGCCCCCTCGGGGCAAAGAGGGAACAAGTGGTCGAGGATGACGGCTCGAGCCGCTGCTCGCGGAGCCGCGGGCGATGTTTCGGGAGGGGGTGGAGAATGGGGCCACGAAGCGGGGGGAACGTCGTGCCCGAATTGTGGGAAAGGCGCGAGACACTGAGGGTCGAGGATGAGAGTTCGAGCCACTGACTACGGAGCCGCGGGCGATGTTTCGGGAGGGGGTGGAGAATGGGCCGCGACGCGGGGAAAACCTGGGGCCCAAACCGCGGGAAAAGCGCGAAGCGCTCAGGGGCAGCGGGCAGGCGCTGCGCGCCGAGGGCGGACAATTTGTTGAGCGGGGTAGGTAGCGCAAGCGCTAACGGGCCCCCCCCCCTTAGGGAGAGGGGGGGGGAGGGGGAGGAGGAAGGAAGGAGGAGACTCGGGGCGCTGTCTCTTCAAAACGAGGGCCCAACACCACAGGGTGGTTTGGAAAAGCAGCTTCCCCCCACTTCCACTAACGTCCCCGCTAACTTCCCCCCTGAACTGAGCAACATTTGCCGAACTACGCTCAACTTGCCAACTTCATTTCACTGAAGCTCCTTCGTTGTGCGAAGGTGAGAAGTTGATTGTGTTACTCTAAGTGTAAGTTCGATCATCTTGATCCAGCTTAGAACATCCAAGGCCAACTATATACACACTGTTTCATCTTACGTAGCACTCAGCAGACAGAACTAGCTGTGGGCATCTCAGATCGTTGGGAGCTCCTGGGGCACCCTTTGGCCCGCTCTGAGCTGTGGTCTGCCGCCCGGGAGCCCCCAGAGGGGAGACGCATATTACCTGTCCCCTGGCCGGACCCCGGGGTCGCCCCCTGGATCTCCCCAGGGTCGTCCGGGCTCGGTTCCGGGCCCAGGACCCCCCCCCCCCGTGCCTCCGAGCGGGGGGGAGGGGTCGAAGGCCAGGGGGTTCCAAAGGAGGCTCTGGGTGGGGGGGGGGTTCTCCACGAAGGGTCCCCCGTGGGCTTCGCGACCCCTGCTCTGTCGAGGTCCCAGGGCCCCTCGGGGGCTCTCTGGAAGACCCCCTCTGGAACCTTCCGGAAAGGGAAGGGGGTTCCCTTCGAGTGTGTGACGACGTTGCTCAATCACGCTTTGGCTAAGGTGCTTGAGGAAGAAGGCTGGGACAGGAGCGAGGAGCGGCGACGGGCACAGGGAAAGGTACACGCAGGGAAAGAGGGCGGCATAGACGACGATGAACGAATGACGGCGACGACGATTCGAACGGAAAATCCCCTCACACACGCCGACAGGGTCGGCGGATTAACGCTTGCGGATGACGTACTATTTGCTTGTAGTTTGCGCGATTTACATGGCGTACCTTGTCAGTAACGCTGTAGACGAGGTAGAGTAGTAGCCTCCGGGTTGAAGCACGCGTAGTGGTACCCAAAGTGGTCCAGCTTAGGGTTGGCCGTTCTCACCATCATCATCATCATCATCATCATCATCATCATCATCGTGACGTGCCACACGCAGATTGTGTGGTAGTTCCTGTGGGGCAGTAAGCAGGCCTATCGTACGGCGGTGCGCAATGGCGGGCGCTCTTTGTACTCGTTGTAGGAGATGCGGCCCGTCTCGTAGACGGCCTCTACGGATCCGATCCGTAGCTGGAGTTTTCTGTCCCATTTGTCCCCGTAGTTGGCTTCGATATTGTGTGGTCACGTGGTAGGAATTCTTTTGGTGGCCGTCGTCGCTTAGCCGGTCGCCCAGGTAGCTCAGGTGGCCCTTGGAGCTCTGCTGGTAGCCCTCGCAGCTCAGCTGGTGGCCCTTGTAGGTCAGCTGGCGGCCGAGGCAGCTCTGTGTGCAGAGCCCTCGTAGGTCAGCTGGTTGCGCTGGTAGAGCTGCACGTGGTCCTCGTAGCTCTAGCGGTGGCTCTCGTGGCCCAGCGGCTGTCCCTGGTGGCCGAAGCAGTTCAGCTGGTGGCCCAGGTAGCTCAGCTCGTGGCCCTCGTCGCTCCGCTGGTGGTCCTCGTAGCGCCGCAGTTGGCCCGGGTAGTTCCGGTGGTGGTTCTCGTGGATCGGCGGGTGGTTGTGGCAGTTCGGTTGCTGGGCCTGGAAGCTCTGCCGATGGCCCTGGAACTTCCTCTGGTGGTCCTTTTGAGGAGCATGGGTTGGTTCTCGTAGCTCTGCGGGTCCAGGTCCTAGGTGGCTCAGCCGGTGGCCCGAGAAGCTCCGCTCGGTGTCCGTGTAGCCCATCTCGTGGTCCTCGTAGTTCCGCTGGTGGCCCCAGGGGCTCAGTTGGCTTCTTGAGGCAACGGGGTGTATCGGCGGACCTGGTGCACGACGCCTTCCGCGTCGTCATGTAGTAGCGTCGTCCCTGCTGGTCGAGGTAGCTGTTCTAGCCAGGTGGAAGCTGGGAGGCTGGTGCCGGTGTCTCTCATAATTCAGTTAGTAGCTATCATAACTCAGACGGTGGTCCTTGAAGCTCTGAGTGTCGTAGCTCGGCTGGTGGTCCTCGGAGACCTGCTTGTGGCCCTCGCAGCCCTGCGCGTGGTGCTGGAAGCTCAGCCTGTGGTCTTCGTAGCTCTGCGCGTGGCTCGCCGAGCTCAGATGGTGGCTTTTGAAGCTGAGCAGGTGGCCCCTTCAACTCCGCCCCTTGCCGTCGTTGCTCTGTGCGTGGCCCTCGAAGTTTACCTGGTGGGTCTTGATGCTCTGCCCCTTGCTGTTGAAGCTTTGCAGGTGGCCCTCGAAGCTCAGGCACGGGCTCTTGAGGCTCTGGTTCGGGAGTCCAGATTTTGTCAAGTAGATGTAGCTCTCTGTTTCGCTGCAGATATCATTGGGTCGGGGTCAACCCAGAGAGCGATCCGTACCATTGCGGCTCAAGTGGAGAACATTTTGACTTCTCTCCTGCTGCCACAGTTGGTAGCGGAGCGGATGTCGGCTGGGCGGCCATGGGCGGGAGCTCGCGGGCAAAATGGTCGCCGCTGGCCCGCTTGCGCGCCCCCGGCCCAGCTCCGCTCAGTACGCTGAGTGGCGAGGGATCCGCGGCAAATGCCCGCAGTTCTGAGGGCGAAGGGAAGCGGGGACGAACCTGCGACGGTCGGCACGGCAGCTAGACAGCTTCCCGGCGACACCGCTCCAGAAGGCGGTGGTTCAGGGAGCGCAGCCACGGCGCGGGGGGCGACGGGCCGCGAGAGCGAGCCCGCGGTGGTCGGCATTGCGACGAGCTCTGCAGCAGACAGCAGAGGAATATTTACCAGCTGCTTCGACGAGCACGCCTGCGGGGCCAAGCTTCACAGCTAACACACTGGAGTGGGCGCTGAAGGATACCTTGCCTGGATATGAGAGGGACCATGTCGTACCAAATGCGATGATGGCGGGAGTTTCTTGGATATGTACCCCAGAGATACATGCCCACATCAAGGCTGATGATTGGAAATGCCAGCAGCAGATGTTCCCAGCACTGGTACGGTATTTCACGAGCCTGGAGTGGAGATACGACGACGCAGAGCTATACCCACAGAGTGTTACTTGGATATATCTACCGATTGATTTCACGATCGTGACGGGTATCCTTTCCTTGTTTACCGAGCGAGGACCACGACAATGTCACGTTGGTAAGAATGGCGAGGTATTTCAGTACGGCGGCCACGAAACTGTCTGTGTTGTGCGTTGCTGAACTGGCAGCACGAGCTTGTAACAAAGCAGCACGATCACTTGCACCACTGGGCATGAGGCCA